AAAAGTTTTTTTTATAGGGATATGTATCTGGTTTAGTAACTAACAATTAATCTTACAGGTGGAATCTGACCTGCCTTTACATTAGGGACAGATTGTGATAACGTTGTGCTGAGTTGTATTTTGACTGGTATTTGCAATTCAGGCTTTCCCATTTTAAAATCAGGTTGAGTTTTACGGTATTTTCAGCATGAATGAGGGTGGTAGAATTTGTCTCATAATAAATCTCTTTCTGTTGGATTCAAAATGGGCACTTTTTTAATCCGAATGAATGGGAAATACAGTAGCCATGATTCTTGCTGCACCACAAACAACCAGCCAAAACATGGAATTTCTGGTTCATAGGGAAATTCTGAAATGTGGTTATATTCCACTAAGGATTTACGCCTGCATTTGGAGCTGGAGATTTGAAATTAGTAGCTTCCATTGTTCTGTGCCCCTTGACTCACCTCATGGTTTCTTCCAATGTGATAAAGGGTGGCACAGACTGATCGCATTTCCAGTTCCTTCTCACTGCCACGTTGTCCCAGTTGGAGCTGTGAGTGTGCTCTCATGTGTGGTGCACTTGAAAAGTATAAAATTACACACAGTTTGTTTTTAGAGCAGTATGTTGTTTTTATATTGGGAGTAGAATTAGGGTTCTTTTGAGGGAGTTTTGATCCTCCTGAGGTTCCCCATCTCCTCCCCGGACTTACTCGCAGGTACTGGACTATGCAAAAACCTCAGGCTTTAAAATTTCTGCCTTCTGCCTGCATTCCTCCTTGGTTGAGTCTCCAGGACAGTTGCAGACAATTTAGTGGAGGATTGTAAATGACACAAGTGATAAAATTGAAGACTTTGCTCAACTACGAATTTTATATTAAATAAAAGAGCTTCACTATAGAACAGGGGTGTCCAAACTTTTTTCAAAGAGGGCCAGATTTGATGAAGTGAACATGCGTGAGGGCCGACCATTTTGCCTGACATTCTTTGAACCATTAAAATTAAACGCAAATTAACTAGTTTATGCAAAGTTTATTGCAAACGGCATACTTTTCATTTCGTCACATGGATGACAAATCTAAACAGGTGTTAAATCACTCTGCCTTTCATATCTGAAGGCCAGATGAAAAAAAAAATCCAGGAAGCTGAAATATATGTCAGGAACATTGTAAAGTACATTACATATTATTGGTAATAAAGGTTGTCTGTCAACTTTTAAGTTCAAAAAATATGAACAGGAACATAACACCAAGTATACATGTTGTGTCCAAATATATTTATAACTGATTTAGACCAACTGACTTTAACTGAGATTTTACAATGTATTCATCTCAATACATATGGATTCGTTGGGGGCCATAAAAGATAGATATTGCCAAATTACCCGTGGGGCCGTATTAAACCGGAACACGGGCCGCAATTGGCCTGCGGGCCGGACTTTGGACATGCCTGCTATAGAACCATTCACTGCATTTATATTCACACTCTAAGGTGAAACAATCCATTCATCTCCTTCCTTCAATGAGAAGAATAGGTATTACCCATCTATCAGAGAAAGGTTATGCCTATCAAAACTGTGTAGAACTCTCTTTATAAGCAATTAGAACACCTCTTATTTAATTAGTATTATGTCCATATTTTTACCATAATTATTTTCTATTGTCTCATTGGCTATTTAACTTTAAACACCTTTATTAGCAGCTGCATAAATACATATCAGTAACTATCAGTGTAACATTTTTCTAAAACATTAGCCTTTTATTAAAAAGGCGTGTAAAAACCAGCTAAGACCAAAACATGTTTACAAGGTGACCTGCAGTTGTTTCTCTCCAATTTGCCTCTGAGCTCTCTCACTTATTTCACCCATGATTAGACCTCACTATTGTTGAGGCCTGAACTTAGGCCCATGTTTCTCCCCCCCTTACATTTGTATTTAAGAAAAACAAATCATTTTGGTACACAGCTTTAAATTTTGAATGTTGCTATTGTGATGTAAACAAAACTTTTGATTTTTCCCCAATTAAATAAAAACAAAAAATTGGTTGAAAATATTCTTTGCCACTTCCCTGCATCCCTTTTGTACAGGTGTGATTCTGCACATTCACTGGACACACACATTTATTTTTGGAATTAATTTTAAAATAGCTTGTTTTTTTTTTTAAGAGGAAACAACAGACTGTCAACAGTTTTGTCTGTTTTTCTTTTAACTCGGTACAGCCAGGAAAAAAATTTAAGCAGCATTTTAGGCCTAAACGTTCAGAAGAGATTAGTGACTTTCTAGTCACTTTTGAAAATTTTAGACCTTAGGGAGCTGCCCAAAGGAAGGAATGAGCATCTTTTTAAAATGTTCATGTTGAAAACACACTTGGTAGAAACTGCATGCCTTTTATAAGTTTAATAACACATGTCCACCCTTCACCATTGTACAACTTTTCTCTTCATCTGTTAAACAGCCAAGTAAACACATAACTGCCGTCTTCAAACATTATGTGCATTGACCGGATGGACACATTGGCTGAAATTTGGTTGGCTGCATAACTGATGGTGGAGTGCACTCTGCAACAATGAAGTGATTACACGTTTCATTAACTTTACAAGGCATGTGTTTTTGCCATTAACATCTTGAATGGATTTCTAAAGTACTGAAGAAAAACTTAATTTTCACTCTGCCTCTACATACTATTATACCAGACACTTTGTGCTCCCTGTGCCTGGGAGATGGGACAACTGCAAAGCAAGATTATTATTTTTATTATTTCAGCTAGGAAACTAGTACTGTAACACTTCAAGGCAGAAGTGTGTTGCTTTTAATTAAGGCTGTATTTGTCAGAGGACGGAAGAATGATTCTCAGGAGGTTCATTTTGCAATAAGTACCCACATTCCCTTCATTAATTTTCCTCATGTAGATCACATCTTCACAGAGTTTGTCTTACTGACCACTTTCTCTTTGTCATGATCTCCTAACATCCCCAGAGCAACTACACTATGATTTTATGTAGGAAAATAACACTTAACAATATTTCTGAACTACCTGCTGACTTTTAATATAAATGTAATGGGGGTTTTTTTTTTTTTTTTTTAAAGGTGGAAAAGATTCGTCAAGTCAAAGCCAAATCCCTCTACCTGCAAGTTGAAAAGTTGCGTCAGAATCTAAATAAAT